CCAGGGTGGGGCCCTGGTTGCGCCATAACGGGCGACGTCATGGTCCTTGACCCTTATAACATTCCATTTTTTTCCCTCCATTATTATTTTCAAGTAGCAACAAGAAGATGAATTTCCAAAAAGCACAGTCTCTATAATTAAAGCAGAGCTGTATAAATAGCAGACATCTCCCTCTTCTTTCCTATACGTATGTTCTTTCCTATATATGTGAGTGTATCTCTGAGTGTGGTTCAGTCTTCCATGACTTTGTTGAAGCAATGACTGGAGGCTCTTGAGCAAGTGAAGCATTAACACCAGCAATCGTCAGAGAAAGATTTAGAAGAATAAAAGAATGTAAATGAGTGAGAGAAAAATGCTAAATGAGGAGATGGGGCGATAAGCAATGGAAAGCCACTTTGTATCAAGCACCTTTTAATCAGTACTCTCACAATGGGGGACATAAAGAAAACAAGGTTGAGAGAGGCTCCTGTTGACTGTCCAGGCAGTGAAAGTTGCAGTTTTATGGCTAGCTGAGGAGAGTCCTCTTAACCATTTTTATGCCACCGTACTAAGCTCCAGGCAAAATGGATTACACTGGCAAGGCCGTCTCCAGGCATGTTGAGTTTAGCTGGGATTTAGACTCCCAACCTGTAAACACAGGAGGCTGTGTGCCTCTGTCCTTCTTCAACACCTCGGAGGGAAGATCATTAAGAGTGCAAGAAAGCTTAACTATTTCCTTAATAAAATCTTATATTCCGTGCATGCATAGCATTATCCATATTAAGGCAAAAGTCTTTGATGAATCTGTCCCTGGAAATCTGTTGAATCTGACTGTGAAATGGCAGGTCTGTAGGCCAATACTAGAGCCCATGGCATGTTTTCATCAAGTGTCTCAGAAACCTATCTATAAACCACACTGAACTAATGTTGCTTTTGTCAGCGAAAATTATGACTAAATATCGTTGTCAACAAACCTTTTTCACATGATGAAAACGACGAAATGCAACGTAAATGCTGGTCATGTGACGATGACTATAATTAAATGTATAATGCAATATTGTTGACAAAAAAAAAACCAGACTAAATGCGATAATAAAAACTATGCTAAAATGTCTCTAAAATGAAATGTTATATTTCATCTTGTTTATTCACGTTATTATTATTTTTCAGTATTTCTGTTACCTGTGTCTTGATTCAGGGGCTGCATCAGGTCGCACTGCACAGACGCAGGCGACATCACTTCCTTAAGCCCCACTCGCGGCATTATTTAGAAGATGACAACAAACAAAGTCTGACACACAGAAAGGGACCAATGGCCGGCCATCGTATTTGGGAGAAAAAGAAGAAACGACATTTGGAAAAACTTTCATTACATAGAAGTGGAAAAGAAAACGGAATCTATTGTGGAAAAAGATGGGGAGAAATGTTGCCACAAAATCACACAAAAAGTGTATTCGATGTATTCTTGAGTCTATAAGGTAACAATAATATAATAAGATAACCTTGTTTGAAATGGGTTTGGCTAAAAGAAAATTTTGGTTTCCTCTATACTAACTAGGTACTTATACTATATTGACTGGGTTAAATAAAATTGCATTACTAAAAAGAGACTAAAATACAATTTTCATTGACTAAAACTAGACAATGTCATCAGTTTTCATCGAGTAAAACTAGATGAAAATAGTCATGGATATTTCTGACTAAAATAAGACTAAAATGCTCAGACTTTTAGTTGACTGAAACTTGACTAGACTAAAAAGAGTATGAACGTTACTAAAGCTAATAAAAACTAAAATGACAGTGTCACACAAAGACTAGACTAAAACTAAAATAACAGGCCGCCAAAAACAACTGTACATTGGTTCAAATGCTCCTACATCACATTAGCACTATAGTTAGTTATGAAGATTCCAGCATTTCCCAGAGGATTGTATATCTATATTTATGTATCTGTACATTCATAAAAAGGACCAATAATCACATTCATGTGTATATACAGTAAATTATTTAGCTATGCTAGCTGATACCATAGCGTTACTGTCTTAGGATAAATTTCACACCCAACTTCAAATGCTTTTTTAATTTAAAAAAAGTTCCCAAAATAATAGAGTAGTAAATGTAGCAGAAAATATGTTTGTGAATGCCATACGATAATAATGTAGATTCAGCATTGGCACTTATACAAGGCAGAAAAAACTAACATTCAAAACCTAGAACTGGTGCTGACTGGGGGCGGCTGTGACTCAGGAGGTAGAGCAGGTTGTTTCCTAACTGAAGGATTAGCGGTTCGATTCCTGGCTTGTCTAGTCAACATGTCGAGGTGTCTTTGAGCAATATAATATCAAATGTTGCTGACAAAGATTAGTAGGAACATTTAAGGAAGAAAATGTTTATGCATTATGAAACTGTGTGATCCTTACATCTATATATCAGTATCTATCCAATGAATTTTCTTTACCTTAATTTTACTTTCTTTCGGTGCTAGATTTGATGGATGTTGATTTTGTCATTACCCTCACAGCAAGCCTTTTCTGTCTGTCTCACACACTCTCTGCCTCCCTATCACCTCTGCTTTTGGTGTTTGTCTGCTCCACTGCAGACAAACACATCCATGCCTTTGGCTAAAGCAACAGGTGCAGCATTTCCTCTGCAGTAATTCTGCACTGTCTCTAAGGTAGGGCTTGTCTCTAGTTGGTAAACTAGGCTATAACCATGTAAGAGCATTATTTCAACAGAAACATGTGTGCTGCCTGTCTCATTATTCTGACACATCTGAATGACAATGCTACATCAGATATGATAAATTTGAATAGGTCGCAATTTAAATATTGCATCATATGCAGCAGCTGTCTTATTTTATTTTTTTTAAATAAATGCTCAAAATATTTTCCCAGCACTCTTTTTCATTTTAATGTGGTTGAAATCATCACTGTAATTGATTTTGTGACAATCTAGGATATATCTCACCCCCACAATCAGAGATTGGGTACCAAGCCCCAGTAACAAGCCAAGATGAGTTTAAGGCAAGAGCAGCTGACCTGAGATTGAAGATCACAACCAAGATGGACACCTGGAATCTCCGTGGCCAGTTACCAAAACTAAGTGAAGTGCCTTCTGAAAGTCTAGTAGAGGATGTGAATGCAGCACTACAAACAATCCCTACTACGACCATCACTGAGACCAGTAAGCTGATATACACCACAGCAACCATGATCCTTCAGATGCTTGGCTATAAGTTCAACAAAGGCCACAGGAGCAGTATCCTCTATGGAGAAGGAGGTTGGAGGCCAAGATCAAAGCAACAAGGAGAGAAGTTAGCCAGGTATTGGAATTGAAGAAAGGCATGATGAAGAAAGGGGTACCTAAGATATACAACACACTGTCCATGCCTGAGGCCTTAGAGACTGTCAAGCAAAGGCTCACAGCCCTGGCCACCCGGCTTAAAAGGTACACCAGGGAAGTTGAAGCCAGGAGAATAAACTGAATGTTCTTTCCTGAGCCATCCTAGGTGTACTCTCAGTGGCAGGGTAATAATGTGAGAGCAGGCCCACCAAAGGCTGGATACTCAACACTTCTGGAAGCACATATGGGAGAAGGAAGCATCACATAACAACAATGCCCAGTGGCTGGTGGACCTGACAGCAGACCACAAAACCCTGCCTGAATAAGATCCAGTAACCATCACAATGGCAGATATCCAAGAGAGGGTCTCAAGTATGAAGAGCTGGACAGCACCAGGCCCTGACATGATCCACGCCTACTGGTTAAAGAAGCTAACTTCACTCCACGAGCACCTGGCAGGACAAATGAACACGCTACTAATGGACAGTCCTGATCCTGAAGGACCTTCAGAAGGAAGCAGTACCATCCAACTACTGCCCAATAACCTGCCTCTGCACGACATGGAAGCTCCTGTCAAGCATTACAGCAGCAAAGATGGGCAGACACATGGCTCAATACATGAGCAGGGCCCAGAAAGGAAATGGTAGTAACACCAGAGGAGCAAAGCACCAGCTACTGGTTGATAAAGTAGTCACTCGAGACTGCAAGACCAGACATAACCAACCTGTGCACTGCCTGGATTGACTACAAGAAAGCTTATGACACAATGCCTCACACATGGATCCTGGAGTGCTTGGAACTGTACAACATCGACAGGACTCGAAGAGCCTTCATCAAGAACTCAATGGGAATGTGGAAAACAACCCTAGAGGCCAACTTCAAGCCAATTGCACAAGTCAACATAAAATGCAGTATCTACCAAGGAGATGCTTTGTCCCCCGCCGCTGTTCTGCATAGGGCTGAACCCCCTCAGCCAGATCATCACCAAGAGTGGTTATGGATACCAACTATGGAATGGAGCAACCATCAGCCACCTCCTCTACATGGATGGCATCAAGCTGTATGGTAGGAGTAAATGAGACATCGACTCACTGATCCACACCACTAGGATCTACAGCCAGGACATCGGAATATCATTCGGACTGAATAAGTGTGTTCGAATGGTAACAAGGAGAGGAAAGGTAGTCAGAACTGAGGGGATTGTACTACCAGAAGGCAGCATAGCAGATGTTGAGGACAGCTACAAGTACCTTGGGATCCCACAGGCAAATGGGAACTATGAAGAGGCCGCAAGGAAAGCAGCATCTACCAAGTACCTGCAGAGAGTAAGGCAAGTCCTGAGAAGTCAGCTGAATGGAAGACCAAAGTCTGGACAACTTTGCTTCTCTCTCTGGTTATTTTTGTCTCTCACTTCCTTCTCTATGAAGTTTTTTGTGTGTCCTTGTGCTTGTATCGGGATTAGTGAGTGTCAGAGCCACTATTTAGGATGTGTTAGGGTGATTTTCATTTTTAGATAGAAATGAATATAATTAGTTAGGGGTTTTATTATATAGCATACATAAGTTCATATACTTTAATCTCACAGTTGTGTTTATGTTTATGTAGTTACATATCTATATATCACCCTATGTGTTCATTGAATCACTGGTCAGTATTTACTGTGTTAGCCAACTGGAGCACTGTTTAAAATCAAGGGGACTAGTTCACTAAAACACTAAAATTTATTAGATTTACAGCCTGGCAAAGAGGGTCCACAGTTACTTTATTACCACCACCTGGCTAATGGGACGGGGGAGCTATAGTTTACTGGGATTCTTAGAATAGTTGGAACAGAGATTAGATCTGAGCCAGGAAGAGGAAGCAACTTCAAAGGCAGGGCAACACAGACACACACAGGCAGAGAAGCTTGATTGGAACAGGGGGGTAGTGTCTAAAATGTTTTGGAAACAAAGGAAGACATAAGTGTCTATGTAGGAATTAAGACAGGGCAGGTATTCCTCATGATTGGAGGATAGACGGATTGAAGGACCAATCTTGGGAAAATTAAGTTTAAACCACAATTGCTCCCCAACAGTTTTGGACCAATCAGATAGTAACATTTTTCATATAAATGTTGTATACCGCCAAGTTGAAGTTAGTCTTTTCTGTTTATCCTAAACAGTCAAGAACCATGTGCACATGTTAATTTTGATACGTTAATGCATAATAAATTTCACACTGTGAAATATCTTTATATTTAGTCTTTTGTTTTCAATTTACAAGAACACGTTTCGACAGATGAAATGACAAAGATCCATGAATACATCAGGGAGATGGCCCCAAGTGATGGTGTGCTTAGTGAATACCTCAGGCAGCAGAAACCAGAGGAACAAGAGAAGGAAGAGCAGGAACCCTCATTGAAGGACAAACCCCTTCAGATGTAGCGCCATCAAATAGAAGAAGTGGCTGATATCGAAAAATCCTACCAGTGGCTGGATTGAAAGACAGCACAGAGGGACTAATCCTGGCAGCACAGGAACAGGCTCTAAGCACAACATCATGGGCAGGGGTCTACCATACCAGGCAGGACCCCAAGTGTAGACTGTGCAAAGATGCCCCTGAGACAGTCCAGCACATAACAGCGGGGAGCAAGATGCTATCAGGCAGGGCATACATGGAATGCCATAACAAAGTGGTTGGCATAGTGTGCAGAAACATCTCTGCCGAGTCCATGCTGGAAGCCCCAAAGTCAAAATGGGATATACCTCCAAAGGTGGTTGAGAATGACCAAGCTAAGATCCTGTGGGACTTTCAGATACAAATTGACAAACTGGTAATGGCCAACCAACCGGACATAGTAATGGTGGACAAACAGAAGAAGAAGGCTGTAGTGATAGAATCCGAAGCGATAGCAACATCAGGAAGAAGGAACACAAGAAGCTCAAGAAATACTGAGAAGGGCTGAAAGAGGAGCTAGAGAAGATGTGGAAGGTGAAGGCACAAGTGGTCCTTGTGGTAATAGGAACATTGGGGGCTGTGACCCCCAAACTGGGAAAGTGGCTCCAACAGATCCCAGGAACAACATCTGAGATTTCTGTCCAGAAGAGTGCAGTCCTAGGAACAGCTAAGATACTGTGCAGGACCCTCAAGCTCCCAGGCCTCGGGTCCCCTACCAAAGTTTGACGGAAGGAATAAGACCGCCCCGAAGTGGGGCGAGTGGTGAAAATTTCTTTACACATATATATAAATATATATATATATATACAGTGCTTTGCGAAAGTATTCGGCCCCCTTGAACTTTGCGACCTTTTGCCACATTTCAGGCTTCTGTCAGGTTTGCCCAGCTGCACCTTCCTCTCTTCTCTCTTTCTCGCTCTAGTCTGCTCCTTCTCACTGACTCTCCTGATTAACACACCTGTCCTGATTTTCTGACACTCTTCAGCTGCGCCTCCTTTGTCACTCCCTATTTATACTCGGC